AAATTTTATATATCTAGAAAAAATATTTTATTTTTTTTATTTGAGTAGCTTATAATAATTGATTCTCATATTCATTGTCTTCTAATTGATTTATATATGTATCTTTTTTATGGCCTACATAGCTTCCTTAAGCTCAAGGCCTTAACCATAATATGTACTATGTAGAATTTTGTACTCATATTTGTAGTTTACGCAATTTATGGAATAAATAAATAAATAAATAATAAATAAACATTCTGTAAATTACACGGGCACTTCCCCGTTGAGATTACTGCGAATGCTTGATTTAATAATAATCTCATTTTATTCATGTTCTTTGCAGAAGTAGAGTTAGACAAGTCTCGCACGTGGTGCCCCCGTGCAGGTTGCGAAACTGTATGTACGATGTGTCCACAGAAAAAATGCACACCACAGAGCATTTACTGCCCGACATGCACCACTGATTTCTGCAGTAACTGCAAATCGGAGTGGCACGAGGGTTTGTCTTGCGAAGAATACAGCAAACAACTGACGAAGGAGGGCAAAGTCGAAGAACCAGGAATTCCGTTCGATTCAGATCTCATCAAGTGCTGCCCCATGTGTAATGTTCCTATCGAGAAAGATGAAGGCTGTGCTCAGATGATGTGCAAGAGGTGCAAACATGTATTTTGTTGGTATTGTCTAACCAGCCTTGACGTAAGTACTCATGATAAAAAAAAGAATTTGTGAATTAGTGTTGTGCTAAATTTATTTATTTATTTATTCAACGGCAAAGCCAATTTACAAAAATATATTTAACAAAGTGTGAGGAACTACAAAGTATTTTTGAATGCTCATGTCTGATGTCTACATTATAATTTACAATTTTACAAAACATTTAGAAGAGTGTTGACAACCCAGCTAATTTTAGGCCAATTGCTTTGCTACCCGTCTTGTCTAAAATTATAGAAAAACTGGTAAAATAACGAGTAATATCCTTCCTCGAGAAAAACAAGGTGATAAATTTATTCCAATTTGGCTTTCAGTCTTCAAAAGGTACACAAGACGCCATATTTTCATGTACGAAAACTTCTTTTCGCAGATACCCATACAAGAAAATAATACATTCAATGTAGATGAAGAAGAATATTTTGAAATCTTATATCAGGGAAAAACTCAGCTTCAGGGCATGACTATATCACAAGAAACATGTTGAGAAAGCTGGATTATGAAATTCGCAAGTATATCATAAAAAGCTATGAATTTTGCCTTAAAACTCATTATGTACCTGACAATTGGAAAATGGACACAATAATTACAATTCCCAAACCAAACAAGGATCACTCCCTTACAGACAGTTATCGTCCGATTATTCTCCTGCCTGTAATTGGCAAAAACTTTGAAAAACTTCTACGAAACCGTTTACTCCAACTGCTTAATGATAAAATCCCAAGCTACCAGTTTGGATTTAGACAAGGAAGATCTACTATACATCCTCTAACGATTCTCACGAACAACTTCGAAACAACCAAGCTGAACAACAACAAAACAACAGTCATTTTCAGACGAATTTATCCCAGAACAGGGAGTTCCACAGGGTTCACCGCTCTCACCATTGTTATATAACTTATACAGCTCTGATATTTATCATCACCGACAAGGGAATATCAACCACTTCAGGCATGAAGCATATATTCTCCAGTACGCAGATGACACCACTCTAATTGTGCACGATTAAAAGCTAGACAAAGTTATTAACAATTTGGAACATCTTGCAACAATAACAAATAACTGGTTCAATAAATGTTCGTTAACGAACAAAAAGATTTGTGTAGCTCTCCACTTTTGAATTTATAAAGATGACAACACAATTAATCACAGTTTGAAGTTTATGTAGTTGGTATCAATGAATGTAAGTATATATCTTATTACCTACTCTCGGACATATATACTCCGATATTTCTATTTAGATCAGTAGTGCTAGAACGCTTCAAAATGGTGTAAAAACCGAAACCTTGGTCGTATTAATATCAATACATTAAGTAAGTGGAAAATAGACAAAGTATTTTATTCCTATATTAATTGAAATTCTGAATATTTGAAAACAAACTCTATGTCCGATACAAACGAATTGAACAGCAGTGGGCCCATATGGGATCCCTGCGGTACCCCTGATGGAAACTGAATGGGCGTAGATGTTGTATCTCCATATTTTACAGACAGAGTTCTACCAGTTAAGAAGCTATTGATTACGTGCAAAACATTTCCGCCTATACCAAGCACTTGAATTTTAGATATTAGTAGGCCGTGGTTGACTCTGTCAAAGGCTTTGGAAAAGTCAGTATAGACTGAGTCAACTTGTAGCCTCCTCTCAAGATTTTTAGTTAAGTAGTTTGTGTAAAGAGCAAGGTTGGTACGAATTGATTCACCTTTTGAGAAACCGTGTTGTTGGGAATTGAGTAAAGACTTACAGTCCCAGGAAAGTTTCTTTGTAACCATAGAATCAAAGTAGATGAACAAAGAGATTTTCATTACACCGGAAATTCAACTAACAGAAGCAATGAAGTACATCGTTTTCCGTGAGTTTTCGACCGTTTTTCGTGCGTAACCGTCACATACTTGACCAACTGCGCTACGAAAGAGCTACACAAAAAGCGTTACGAAAAAAAAAAACCATCGTTTTTTTCGTGTAACGTTTTTTCGTATAACGCTTTCGCGTAACGTTTTTTCGCGTAACGCTTTTCGTGTAGCGCTTTCATGGCGCAGTTGGTCAAGTATGTGACGAAAACGCGCGAAAAACGGTCGAAAACGCACGGAAAACGATGTACTTCATTGCTTCTGTTAGTTGAATTTCCGGTGTAGTGAAAATCTCTTTGTTCATCTACTAATATCAAACACCTTAGCCATCTCTGACTGATTGCAAACTGCTCTATAATTCCTAATATTTTTCTTATCTCCTAGTTTATGTATTGGTTTCAAGAAGCTGTTTCCAATAATCTGGAGAGGTGCCTAGAGAAAAAATTTGATTGAAGATGATTCGTAATGGGATTGCTAAAGTGTATAAAAAATAAAGGTATCCCATCAGGTCCCATTGTGAGCTTAGATGAAACAGAGAGAACGTAATCTATTATATCCGTAGCAGTAATACTGTTGATTATTGATATAGACTTTATTTTCAAAATTATATTCAGGGATAAAATTCACTCTCTCGTTATTATATACAGTTGAAAAAATAACAATAAATAAATTCAATTTCCTTCCCTAAAGTTTCATTCACCGACTTGACCAGAATCTTTTTTTCCAGGACGACTTCCTCTTGAGACATTACGATAGAGGGCCCTGCAAAAATAAGTTAGGCCATTCCAGAGCATCCGTTATATGGCATCGAACCCAAGTGATCGGCATCTTTGCCGGCTTTGGCATTTTGCTGTTAGTAGCCTCTCCTCTGTTACTTCTGGCTGCACCGTGTATAGTGTGTTGTAAGTGCAGAGTCTGCAATGCAGGGACTAAACTGGACAACGAAGAAGTACAAGGAGAAGAATCATGATGCGTGCTTCAATAAGTTGTTTGGGTTGCGGTTAATTTCTAGTAGCTTATATCCCAGATTTATGTAGAATCATTCGGTGGTTCAAGTGGAGAAACTTGAAATTTTTGCTCTGCATACATTTGTATCAACTTTCCCCTTTATTAAAGTTACGAGTTTGTTCCGATGATCAGCTGAATTCAAAGAAAAACTGAAGTAGCAATAATCGTGGGAAAAACCTGCCGTTACTTGTTCTGGTTACAAGCAAACTTTTTAGGAATTATATATTTCTATTTCCAGTTTCAGTTTTGTGTTTCTCTTCTTGAGCCAGGCTTTGATCTAGTCTATGAGTTGATAAATAAATACGTGAAAAGTCTGCAATTTTATTGCATCACTGTTGAGCCTTTTTGTAGTTTTATATGGGTTTTAACATGGACGGAATCTGTGATAGAACACTGTGATTTATTATTTACCGTCTGTGTCTTCAACTCGTGTTTATTTATAATTGTAGATTTTACAATTGTTAGTGTACACTGTTAATTTTATAGCAATACTGAATGCATAAATTCTTCGAGTACCATCGCAACCATTTTTGGTTAAAAATTTCAACGAATTTAAACTTAGGGATTTCTTAGTTCTTTTTACTCCTTTTTGGTTCATCCAAATTGTGTTTTTGAAAAAAAATTGAATTGTTTTTGAACGTTTCGCAGAGTTAAATGGATCAGATGTAGAAAAAACATATTTTATTTGATGGAAAGGAATGTCATTTTACTTTGAGAAGAATGATTCAAAATGGAGTACTTGAATATCAAAACAGTAGATATGGAAATGAAATATTGAAATATGAAATCAAAAAGTACAATCTGGATGTGAAAAAATATAAATCTAGAAACAATGAAGGCCCCACCCACCAAAACACAAAAAGTTTAAATTGCAAACCCCTACTTGTGACACATCATTGAAAAGACTATAAAAAATGCTATTCAATGGTATAAATAATAATTCTACAGGGTGAAGCAATAATTGTGAAACTTTGGCTTAAATGGAATATTTAATGAGGTTTTTGTTGAACTGCAAATTTATTAAAAATATCAATTAAGTAAATGTTCAAAGTGGGTTCCGATGTTTTGTAAACAATAATACAGCCTATTTTCAAATTCTGCACGAACTTTGGCAAATGTTGTTCTAGTAATGGCGCGACACGCTTGCGTAATTCTTTCTCGCAATTCCCCAAGTGACGCAGGTTGAGTTTTATAAACAACTGACTTGAGGTGACCCCACAGAAAAAATTCAGGTGGCGACAAGTCTGGTGACCTCGGTGGCCACTCAATGGACCTCTCCTTCCAACCCATTTGTTGGGATAATTAGTATCCAACCAGTGCCTAACTGGGGCTGCATAGTGAGGAGATGCTCCATCTTGTTGGAAGTGCAGCAAATCTTCGTCTACAGCTAGGTTGCCTTGGTTGTCCCTTTGGTTCTCTAATTCATGCACAATTAAAGGTTCGATGGTGTTTTCCAGCATATCGAGATAAATGTCGCCACTTAAATTGCCTGGTATGAACAAGGGATCAATTATAGCATCGCCTGATATTCCTGCCCAAACTTTTAATTTGTAGTTCAACAAAAACCTCATTAAATATTCCATTAAAGCCAAAGTTTCACAATTGTTGCTTCACCCTGTACAATTATTATTTATACCATTGGATAGCATTTTTTATAGACTTTTCAATGATGTATCGCAAGTAGGGGTTTGCAATTTAAACGAGTTTTGATTGGTGGGGCCTAGGGGGTGAGTTCTCTTTCATGTCACTTTAGTTCCCCCTTACTATCCTAGAAACGGTTTGAAGCATTTTTCGATATTAGCTTTCGTTTGTGAGATATAGCCCATTGTAAGTTTTAACATTGACACACTGTATAGTAGCAACTCAACTGAGTGAAAATTGAAGAAATGGAGAAAATATCTAGGTGAAGGTGATGTGAAAGTAAATTCGTTTAATTAAGAATTGACAAAGATTCAACATACATTTAAAATTAAATGAATGAAAATTACACAAAAAAATTACAATCAACATTTCTAACTCGGAATTTGATTTTTGATCTCAGATCAAAGTAAAACGTTTCCTTACATGTACTCATAATTTTTTGTCATGACTGAAAGCCAGAGAGCTTTTTAATGTCAACAACTGTTTTCCGGGTTTCTCGTCCTTGGTCTACAAATTTTTATGACTGGAATTTCGTCTACCACTGCGGTAGATCGTATCAAGGTAACAGTCGAAGTTCTCTATGCATAAAGTACAATGCTGCAGTTTTACTCTGTTTTTATATTATTATTTGTGGACGTGACTTGATTTATTTTAATTAGTTTACCTGACGTTTGTGTATATAGTTAAGGACAGGTAGCCAGATTTAATAAATATTCATTACCTCTTCTTTTATATTGAAATTATCATTGTATTTTTAAATTTCTATTACCTCTCTATATACTCTTGGATAGTAAATATTGGTTTCACGTCGTGTTTTTGTAAGATTCTCACAATCCTGGAGATTTATGGCAACGAAAACTATCGGAGAAAGTCTAAGGACAGCTAAGGACCCCAGATAGTCTTTAACAACACCCGGGATATACCAGATTCCTTGTAACTGAGGGTCGGTCTACATTGGAAGCACGAAAAGAAGTATAGTTACCTGCCTCTTTGAACAGAAGAGAAATTGTCGCCTTGGACACACCGATAAATCAGCTGTAGCGGAACATGCTCTCTAAGAAAGCACTCACATGATCTTATTCAAAAATACAGTATTACTCAATAAAACTCGAAATTACTATCTAAGAATATATGGAAGAGCAATAGAAATTCAAAAACAGGGATAATTTCAATGGAAAAGGAGAGGCAATGAACATTAATAAAATTTGGCTACCTGTCCTTAATTGTACACAAACAAGGTCAGGTAATTAGAGGAAACCAAGCCATGGCTGCCTATGATAATACAGAACCAGAGTCAAATATCTGTATTGTAGTTCCTGTGTTGGGAACAATGAGAACAACAACTCTAGCACTTCGACCGTTACCTCATCGCCTTTGTTGTCTACCGCAGTAGTAGACGAAACTTCAGACATAAAAACCTAAGGCCAAAAAACCCGGAAAATAGTTTCGGCACTGTTAACAAATTCTTATGATACTTTTTGGAAATGTACATTCAGAACCGTTTAGTTTCAAATGAAAGGGTTATATTTTTGGGAGTGAATAATCTTTAGGAAAGTTTTTGGCTTCCTACTACTCCATATTGATACAATCAAATATGGGAATCTTCCAAAGAAAGGAACTAACTCCATACATAGATGTGTAGATCATGCAAAGAAGTAACTTTCAGACACAAACTTGAAGAGAAGCCCTTCCGAAACAGTTACTTTCATATAAACACTGAACTACACACAAGAAAAATTATTTCTAAATATGTAATTTTATATAAATACTAAATTATACAAAAAACACTTTACTCAGTTTCTATTCCAAACATTCGTTGTGGAATTGAATCTGATATCATTCTTACATGGAACACTATCATACTCACTGGTAGACATCGATATTTTGCCGTAAGACATTTCCCTTAGGCTCTTCAGTACCAATACTAACAACATGGTAATAACATTATGAGAAAAAACGCACAATCCATTCATATAATTACTACTTTATTTCAAGATGGAGTAGTAGAAAGCCAAAAAATTTCTTTCCCATTTAGTTTAGTTCTCTTCAATCAAAAATGAGAAACTAACTATATAAAGTCAGTGCTGAGGAATTCCGTAATACAGTTTTTCGTTTCCAAAAGGCCTAATTGTTGTTAATCATAATCTGATGGGTATAAAATTTCTTTGAAGTTAGAAGCGTATAACTTTCATTCTATGAAGGTAAGATGTTGAAATATTCCTGAAATAATCATCAAATATACATGTACACTTCTGTTAAGTTTTATTGTAATGAATTATTTTGTAGATGTGTTTCGATGTGAGTTTTNTACATATCAATAAATGAAAAGTTAAATAAAAAAGTCATAAATAGGAATATACTATATTTTCATTAAGTAATCCTTCCATCGTGTTTTGAATATTTTTATCGTACCACTATCTTTAATTTCCTTGGGAGGTCAATTATGTGTACCTACTATTTTTTTTATATTGTTTCTGTTTCTTGTATAATACTAATGTATTTCAACCACATAGGGTAATTCATTCTGTAGATATACAGGTGAATATTCAATTTTCATTTTAGAAATATAAATTAGTGTTTGGTACTCGAAGAGTTTCTTGACTGGTAGCCATTGAAGGGTTTGCAACATATTTGCTATCGGTGTTATTCTCGAACATAGTAAGATTACTCGCATAGCACGATTCTGCATCTTTTGTAGTCTGTTCATTTCATTTTGATTAAGAAAAAACAGAATGGTGGAACGATAATTTGAATGTGGAAGGATATGGAGTTGTATACTAATAATTTAGACCCTTGGCTCATATATGGGAACACCTTAAATAGTTGATTTTTCAAGCTATTGTTTTGATAACTTGATTAGCATATTCCTTGTATTTTAATTTGTTGTCAATACTTACACCCAAGTACACGAATTTGTTTACCTTTTCTATATCAGTGTCATTCAATCATAGAAGTAGGTTTTCATTATTATAATCTTTGTTTCCCTAATAATATCCATTTTGTTTTATACGTTCACCTTTAGCAGATTTGCAGAGCAATATCTATACACCCTTTCAAGGCTAGCGTTTATAGTATCAACACACTCATGTACATCTTCACTACTAAAGTACAGTAGGGTGTCGTCGGCAAATGAGTGAATTTTACATTCTTCTGCTATGGTTACATTTAATTATATGAAGAATAACAATGGTCCCAAAATAGATCCTTTGGGGTACAGTATGATCCAAACATTCATCAGAATTTATTGATTTTATGGTATGAAATCGCAAATAGCTTTGGTAAATCTGATTTTTTATTTATGGTATCAAACTAACTAGTTTTTGAGAAGATAAAATCTCGAAAAATTGATCTTTCCCAGTTACCTACACCGTAGGTTCTGGTAAATGAATTAATAGATGCAGCTGTTACTACGTGGTAGGAGATCCTCATGAAAAATTAAACTTCCTGGTTTTTACCACCTGTATTTGTAACTAACGTAACTACAGTTAATTTCATTTTGAAATATTAATTTTTTTATATGTCCTTATCTCTCCTCGATACAGTTTTCAGTCACAGTTAATTAACTGCAAGTGTCAGATATTTTTTGCTGTAATACAGTTCTGATAATTTCTATACTGATTACAATATATGTGATTCCTATATTTAATAAATCAAATTTGACTATTGATGAAGAAACTTGTTTCAACTTCAAACATTGGTTCAGTGTGAATTTATTCCACAAAAGGAACCTGATTTCATAGAGGAATGTTATGTGATTTTTGTAATATCAATATCTGTTTGGGGAGTGCTTATTTTTTCTAATTTGTATCTAAGAGAATCTGATATCATCGCCATATTCCAGAATACAATGCAAATAATTAAAACAGTACAGTTCTTAAATGTATAAATTCGTAATAATGTTTCTAGTAATCAAATCATTGTCAACATAAATTTATTTCAAAAAGGAGCAATCAAATGAGACAAATTTTTGTACATATGTACATCAAAGAATGTTTTTCAATGCTGCAGCAAACAGAACTACCAAACTTTTCATTTGAAATGTTTTGAAAAAACTTCACTTTCAATTCTTCTTTGAGTATCCAAAATGATCAACTTGGGCTCATTCTCTTGAAGACTGGCATATACTCTATCCAGAATAATCATTTTATTAGAAAAATCTTGAACTCTTCTCAAATATCCATCTATGTTTATGGACTTTAGAAAATCTTTCTGTTCAGTTTGCAAAATGCTTTCATCGTAAATCTTATTTTTTGAATCAAATTTTTCCTTCTCTTTCCACTGTCGCTTTTCATCAAGAGTTTCCCGAAGTTTTAAGGACCACTGAGCTATTTCATTTCTAACTTTATCGATGTACTCCACTGGATATACAAGATTTAATTTTTCTTCTGGAAATTTATATGCAGCTTTCACATTATCATTTTCGAAATCGAATAAAGATCGGCGTCTACTCGTCTGGAAATCTTGTTTGACTTTATTTGTTTCCATAGTTTTAAAATTTTCAACGGTTTGTGGTTTCTGTCAACTATATTCAATTACTTGGCCTTGACAAGTTGAACCATGGAGCACAGTAGAATAGTTGATTTTTACTGTGCATGGAGTATCTGTGAATCTGACCACTGATCATTTGAAAGATATCATTGATCCACAGACTAAAAAGGGATAGACAACGAGGTTATGTCGGTGTTCAGTAATGTGGGTGGCATATATGGCTAACATACCGATAACATTTCATTTCTAATTTCAGTCATAGGCCTCAAAAGTGGTGTTGGGGGCGAATGAATTGTTTTGGACCCCAGTTCAACTTTGATAACCAAGGATTAACTGTCGATCCCGTAGATGATAACTTCCTTAGGTGGGGTGTCATCGCCTCCACTCAGGCTTATTCTGGATAGTTAAGTTCAGCAATGCATCTGTAGTTTAGCCTAGCATCACTGATGAAATCTATGGCGAATCGAAACAGCGCTGTCTGATGTTGGATCACGAATGCAGATAATAGTAAAATAAAATATTTTGTCACGTACTGGAAATAATGATTCAATTACTCATTTTGTTTATCTGTTTCAGAATTTGTGCATTTTTCTCTCTTTGAGAATGTCTCTACATTATTAATCACAATTTTCTGATTGATTCGACCGTCACTTGATGAAAATCCACAGTAATTTCATAAACTACACCTTACGATTTGATCTCCACGAATTTTATTTAAGGAAATATATCATTACATGTTTCGCTAACACAGTAGCTTTTTCATAGCGAATTGAGTACTAGCAGTACACATAAGCAATGTTAGGAAGTTTCAATATACTACAGTTTACTATTATAAACCATACGTAATAACCTCCACATCAAGATGCATAGGAATCACATGTTAAAAAGCAATACCTCGTTAGTCCTCAGCTCGCAACTTTTGAGAGTTGTTGTTCGTAGGGGCGACAGCTGATCAACGAAAAAAACAGAACAGAACATATGGAAGTACCATGGCGAGATTTCGCCATGGACAAAGTGATTACTTTGTCCTCACTCTATGTAAAATATTTTGACAAAAACATTCGATATATGGCACACTTGATTCTTCATAAGATAAAGACATCCAACGTATTCTTAGAGACGCTGAGTGCACACCAATGTTCTCATTAGGAAACGATTCTTGTTGCGTCTATCAGCAAGTGTTCAACGTTAGGTCAATCTGCCAGCGTCAAGAGTGTTTGACAAATTAAATACGATTCAGTTTCAACACCAGGATTTCTATGTATCTTTAATATAGACATGATAATATGAACTAGATTAAACGTCACTACTACATATATTCCACCCACAATCTCAAACTTTTTGGCCACTGCGTCAAAGCAACAAGTGATTAATCTAATCCCAAAATTTTCAAAATGTAAATATGCAACACGGAGTTCCGTTTCCGATGTGGTGGTGGACGGACGTGCCGATAGCGACCGTCCACAAAGAAGGTACGCGGACGCCATTTTTGGAGACGGAATTCAGTTTGTGTTGTGATGTCCGCCGTTTTATAACGAGCCAGCAATCATGAAAATAATAGTGTTGATAACAATTGTTTGTGTAAAATATTTATAATACCTGCTCCCATTCACGCCGGTTGGAGGCCGGGAGACCGGATGTCCACGTGGGAGTGGGATCGCAACAATATTATTTTATGAAGAAGACAATAGTTTTATTTCCAAGAACAGTTGACCTCATTTGGGACACAGACTTGCAAACTGCAAGACAGTCTTTGTCCCTCGACGAAGCTTTTGTTATGTAACAGCCAGTTACGTAACAGGAGGAGCATTGGTCAAATGCGCCTGAAGATAGGAAGCAACGACCATAGAGAAAGAGAAATATGCAACACGTAAAACATCGTGACGTAAAACTGACGTTGTGACGTAAACGCCAGGACGTTACTCTCTTCATCGTTTTTTAGTTGTTGGAGTTGACTTTCTCTCTTCAATGGTCAGTCTATATTATGACGTCACTGATCTTTATCTATATCTAATAATAAATAATAACCTAGAATCTTGTTTAAATTTTGTAAATTTTATAGTTGGAAAGGAAATTCATTAGACATGTTGGGAGTCTATAGTTTTTTACGAAAATTAGCTTTTGTAAAAATACCGCTCAAATGCAACTCCATAAAGACTGTGAAAATGTGTACAAAACCTCTTGATGTAAACACAAATGTAACAAAAGATGTAATATTGTACAAATACCACAATTCAAGATATTTTAATTTAATGAATATTTTTGCAATATGTCAGTTTGGTTTCTGGACCTATTTGTCTGTTATTTCTTTGAAAACATTGAGAGATGTTCCAGTACAAGAAACGGATAGGGAAGAAAAGAGATGGTGGGAAAAGATAAACTTAGGAGAAAATAAATATAGAAATGGCATAGCCGCATTTTCATTTCTTGTTGGTGAGTCATGGTATCAAGAGGATTTGTTGTTTACTATCATAAATTATTTTAGGATTTGGAATTCTTTCCTTCACTTGGCTGTACTCACTAAGATCGGTAAAGTACCTGATCCTTAGAAAGGGGGGTAAACAAATCACAATTGTCACTTACACACCAACTATGATAAACCGGATGTTCACAGTAAATCTGAGCGATTTAAGTTCCAAAGATACTAGACAAGCTGCTAAGTCACACATTGCTCTTAAAGTGAAAGGACACTCTTTTTACTACCTGATGGATATGAAAGGAGAATTCCAAAATCCTACTTTATTCGACTACACAGCTGGCTTGAGCAGAAGTTGGAAAGTGTGATTTTCAGTATGAAATAAAGTCTTATTATCTGGGCTCACTATTGCTGTTTTTGAAGTAATCTTAGAAGAAGGGTTTTCACTCTAATTTAATTTTTTGACTGTGTGTATGTTAGAATCTTCCAATACCTGTTATATAATGTTGCATGTATTTGCTATGAATCGCAAACATTTCTAACATTGAATATTGAAAATTTCTAGAAATTAGTCGACTTGTTTAACTAAACAATCACTAAAAGATGATAGTCCAGTCAGTTTTAATACATACAAGTGAACCCAGGTAAGAAAACTTACCAATATGAATTCAATAGTGTTCAGTATTTATTTATTTTTTGTTCATTTACATGTCCAAAGTTTCGAAAGGCAAACTCTTGAGTCTCTTAGACCATTTTCTTTCAAGATTGCAGCATTCTTTTCTAAGTTTCTGTTGAAATATGTTTTCTCTCAGAGTTTTATTAAAACATTGGGAATTACACTTTTCTTTAATTTGTATTTCAACATCATCTGAAAGGCTGTAAAGAAAATGATATTATTTCATAACTTTTACAAAGATTACTAAACTTACGACTTGAATTTTGCCTTTTTATCCCTTATGTATACTACCACGGGAACTATTCTCAGTACTTCAAGAGATTTTGAATCATGAGGGGTGCAGTTTTTCAGAACTCTCTGACTTTTCTTGTCTCCATCACTATGCCTGAAAAAGTTGTTAAACACTAGTTCGCGACAAAAAAAATTGAACAAGTTTTAAATTCAAATTTTGAAGTCAGTATCGATTGCAATTTTGTAGACTTATCATTGGCTGATGAAGTATTTGAAATGCTACAAAAATTGGTGATATTTTTTTGTTACATTTGAACAAAACAATATAACAAAAAATGAAACTCTGTAAAATAAGAATAGTTGATAGTTGTTTCTTAGGGATTCGGTTTATATTGAAATGAAATTATATATGATAGATAATGATTTTTCTACATACATATCGGCACTTTTGCCATCTTCAGGTTAAATAATGTTGGGTTTTTTAAGTATGCTATCACTTGTTTGAAGGTGGTTGACAATGTTTCGTGGTGTATTTCATCAGTTCGGACTTCCATTGTCTAATATAATATAAATTGATTTGATAACTTGAAAAATACCAAAAAAGATTAACCGAAAATAACAATTTTATTAAACAAAAACTGAAATAACATACAACAACAACAACCAAACAAATAAAAATTGAAATATTAATAAAAGCTGAAAACAAAAGTATTATTAACAAAAAATTTCAAACCAAGTTATGTTACAGCGTTTCGATTGTCAGCTATTTATAGGTCATTCGAGTGCTTTCACCTATCCCCTCTTTCCACTTCATTGGTTTTGGCGGGAGATCACCGTTTTGCGAGAGTTGGTCGTTTTTCGCTTGATTAAAGGTTTCCATATGTTACGTATCTCTACGCTGGCTTGACTAAATGCGTTGTTAGACAACATATACGCGGCTTCTTTGAATTTTCTCCTAAACCAGTGTTCCTCTTTGTGGATGATTTCAGCTTGAGCCCACTTGATGTTGTGTTGATGAGTCCAAACATGCTCTGCTAATCCGGATTTGCTGGTTTCTCCTCGCTGTGTGTGTTTCTTGTGCTCAGCAACGCGAATAGGCCTTAGCTAGAAGACAGCATGAACTCCACAAGGAAGAGAAGCCGCCACAACCAGTACTTGTACTTCCCTACATCAGAGGATTATCGGAAAGGATAGACAATTGGGTCCAAGTATAACATCAGGACCTGCTTCAGATCTGGGAACACTATCCGTAGCAGCCTCATGAAAACCAGGCCACTAAACGCGGACTGCGATTCCAAGAATTGCATTTACCGAATACCATGCGAGTGCAGAGAATCATACATCGGTGAAACTAAGAGACCATTGAAAGTTCGCATTGCCAAGCACAAGAAACACACACAGCGAGGAGAAACCAGCAAATCCACAATAGCAGAGCATGTTTGGGCTCATCAACATAATATCAAATGGACTCAATCTGAAATCATCCACAAAGAGGAACACTGGTTTAGGAGAAAATTCAAAGAAGCCGCGTATATGTTGTCNATTCCTTCAATTTACTTTGATCTTTTACCCGAATGCTTCTTCTTTTTCCATGATAAAAGTCGTCTAAAGAATCGTCTTTAAAATTGCTTTTCATTGACATTTCCAGGTTTTCGAAGCCTTCCAGGCAATAGTTTACATCCGAGAGGTTAAACTGTTGAGAATTGTTATTATTGCATTTCTTCATAGACAATCTAATACTGCGTCTGATTTTTACAGTTTCTATAGGAGAAATGGATGGGGTACGTTGAGGCTTCACTTTTGTTCTTTTTTCAACAGGCCGTTCAGGAATTTTGAATTGAACGTTTTCCTCTGTATTCGACTTATAATTAGTTCCAATGCTGTCTTCCAAAGGACTTCCATAATTCTTTAAGAGACACTTTAAGTGAAATAAATACAACAGTTCAACAAACTTACCAATACTTTTTTGATATTATCAAGGTTTTCTTTCACGTCTATAGGACTACTCGCAGCCCTGGTGCTTCTTGAAGTCAACTGTGCTATCTCTGATCGTACAATTTTTGAAACTTCGCTTTGTATTTCATTCCAAGGCATCCTAAAATATATTGAGGAAAATGTTATCAGGGGCATAGCAGAAAACAAGTATCATGCAAATATAAGTTTATTAGGAAACGTATATTTAGGGAGCATCTTCATAAATCTTTGAATTTTCGTAAAAACATTGGTTCGAAATTCATTGTCCTTTCGTACGAATCAAAATTGCCTTCAAAACTTCTTCATCACTTCAGCAAACGTTAGGTAACCCTAAAGACGAGGTGTTTGAAAATGAACAGTCAGGGATATATCTAATAAGCTGTGAGAACTGTGACCAAAGATACATCGGTCAGTCTAAGTAAACTAATAAAACTCGTTTTGAAGAACACCTAGAACATAAACGATTTCGTAAACCAGAAAAATCTAGTGTCGTCCAACCTGCCTTGGAGAATGGACACAGAATATGAAAAGTGTCTGAAATCATTGAGATAGGCACATGACATTAGTTTTTGGATATTCTTGATAGTCTGGAAGTACCAAAGTGCCGTATGAAAACTATGAACAGTGAAAAAGGTCCCATTCCAAACAGCCCTTATATGATACGCTCAGTTGAAATTATTGATGGGCATTTGAAAGTGTATCCCGTTAGATATGAATGGGGGACCAGTTTTAGAGTTCAGAATTAGTCCAACTCATCTTCTGAAGACATAACATGGTTAGTGAAACCTGCGTCGAGTAGAGTATTGCAGTTCTGATGTTTGGAGAATAGCGATTGTTTTGGATTCATTTCCCAGAGGTTGCAATTCTACCAAATACTTACATTGGTGTACAATTTATATTTTCTTTCATATCCTGTTTCGACGCTTCTTCTGTCAAATATGATTCTCTGCTAGGTCTTTTCAAAGTGCTCTTTATTACTAATTCTAGTTTTCCCATGAGCGACGATTCCATGGCAGTCATATACTTCTTAATAACGGGGCTCAAATTTGATTGTGCTGGATCTAAATTAGAAAGAGCCGAAGCAGTACTTGATATTGAAGAGACGCTATTTGAATTATTTGAACAAAACGACTTCAAACTTGGGCTATGGTCGGGTTCATCAATCACATTCAAGGGCTGGCGTTTCAATTTTTTCGTTGGTCTTGGGGTCTGATTTGGTAAAGCTGGTCTTTTGAAAGGAGTACTGCTTGTTCTGGATGTTACAAATAAAGTTGGATTTTCTTTTTTGTAACGAGTTACAATTTCATTCACTTCAGGTTTGTTTTTCATTTTTTTGACTCTCTGAGCGAAATCTAATGTCTGTAAAGTTTCTGTTGAGTCTTCAGTTAAGGGGCTGATGCAGGCTATTAAAGATATAAAGTTTTGTCGGTTTAATGAATCTGCAATGAAAATATAAATTAGACCAGTTGAACACAATCCAAATTACTACTTAACCTTGCAATATAGAAGTTATAATAGACTGCCTGTAAGGAATGAAACTGGAGTTCATCGACAGGGCGGTCATAACTTGTCCAATTGAGAGGAGACCTTTGTTTATATTCACGCCTTCATGAAATGCATCTCCTTCTGTACCTGTTTTCCTAACATTCTCACAACCAGCCAAATCCACCAGATTCAGTTTGGCAAGCGTTTCACTATCCCTGAAATTCAAATAAATCCATGGAAAGATACTAGAAATAATATTTTGTCAGAATTGTTTTAATCCGTCTGGTATTTTGTTTCCTTGTACTTGTCATCTTGCTTTAAATATCAACATTAATAGTAAAAAGAAGTTACGTACAATTTTAATGAGAGTTTAAATGAGATGGGGATTGAAAAATATTTTTTTGTAGAAGTTGAAACTTATACAAGCTAGTGATTAACAAGGTAGTACTTCCCAACTAAAATATATTTTATTTGATTATGAATAATTGAATGTAATTATTGGTATTACTTTATTTTCATCCCCTTTTAATTCATCTACCGTTTTAACATGTAACTCTCATACAGCCGTTTAAGGTTTTGGCAACCATTCACTATTAACTTGTTTAGTTAGTTTCAAAGTTAAATGATTATTTCGTAATAATAATTGAAAATAACATACTTGTGACGGACTTTGCAATAAATGGTAAAAATTGCATGAGATCTCGAACTCTGAGCATTTTGTTTGGTTCCAGCAGTGTGTCGATTTTTATTTCCTATTTTCAAAAAATGTCTGGCTTCAAACAAATTAAAAACTTTTTCTTGACAGAATCCTTGGGCTTTTAGACCTACACAAAGAGAACAATATGGAAACTAATAAAGCTAGTTCTACATTCTCACTCACCTTTAACCTGCAAAGGGGGCTTATTATCATTCTGTAATAGGTCAAATACTTTTTCATTATATATTTCAATGAAGGAGAGTGATATTTCAACTTCGGAGTCAATATCATTGTTATATTCAAAAAACTGATTCAGAGTTCTGGGAATTAACCCAAAATCAGTTTCATTCAGCACCTAAAATCACGAGTAAATGAAACCTGTTATTTTGTAATATTATTTGAATTAAAATTAACCTACATTAGAGTTTGTACCAATAGTGTAAGTTTTGCCCGTTCCAGTCTGACCATAAGCAAATACTGTACAGTTGTAACCTTGTTTAACGTAATCCACCAGTGGTTTAACAGTTTCATTATAAACAATTTCTTGACTGACTTCTTCAGTAAATATATTGTCAAAATTGTATGTTTGCGATCGATCTATCATAAACAGTACCTGGAATAAATGTTCAAGTGAATGTCTTTAAAAACAACAAGCAGATACCTTGTTCTACGAAAAAAAAACTGAAATTTGGAGAAAAGGCTTTCATCCACCTGAAAATAATGTTTTAGGTATTCAGGTGTAAAGACATATTACACCTTGAGAAAAATAAAGAGCTTTAGTGTTTCGTAGGGGGTAAAAGAAGTGGCTGAAAATATCTAATCCTATAAGAAAGCTATAAGTAATTTTCCCCCAACCTCCCAAAAAATTTTGCCTAAAGATTACAATTCAGTATATGTCCCCATGAAAATATGATTGATAGTAACAAAACAATTTCCACAAACGAATTAATCCTGTAGTTCGACTGAAATCTACAAAATCTAATATGCTTGAGTAACCGTTTTTCTGAAAAATTCTTACTGGTGGTTGTTTGCTGATAATCTTCAAACATGAAGTTATGTCATCTTTATACAATACAGGTTTGATCCTGATTGAAACATTAACAAACTCTAAGTCGCTATCCATTTTTATAATAATTTTTGTAGAAAAATAAAACAGAAACAAACTGCCATTTTTCAAATGATTCAAATCATTCATAAAACGATAAAATCACGAAACCATGAAACAAAAGCTTCTTTGTGTTTTCCATTTGTTAAATCAGTGCCAAGCTAGTGCAATAATAAATTAACCCACATTATTATAAATTCAAAGTGTGTTTGTTTAATACAAATTTTAGCGCTCGGTTAGTTCGCTTCACTCGGCAAGCATTCGATAATACGATAATGCAGATCTGTTGACTCAGTGCTGCTTAGTGTTCGGTATTTACAAGGGCGAGAAAAAAAGTGTAAACGGTAGCTCCGAAATCAACTCTATTAGTCATATTTGAAAAATATGTTTAAGTTTTAGGTGTTTTTTGGAAAATTTACTTTGGAATGTTCAACTCTTGTCAGCACATATAATCTGCAAAAAGAGTACACGACACATTCTCATTGACATAATACCTCTTTCAACGCTAGTCATTCTTAGTTGTAAAAAATGTTTCATTTTTAAAAGAAAATCATAAATCACAGTTCTTTTTCACTTGCTGGGCTCCAGATTTCTGAAACATCTTCAATACATATATATTGCTCCTTCAATAAATCTGTGGTTCCACTGATTGACTCAATGGATTAATTTCTATTGGCTGAAACATTCAATTAAACCTCAGTTTCTATTGTTTAACTTGAAAATGTCTATGCTAAATTGAAAATTTTAATGTTTCATCATTATCTTACCTAACCCGAATTTTCAAGATTGATGTCGCAAGAATAAATCCGACTTTAAAGTTGAAAATATGTCCAAAAAAAATTTAACCATTCTACGACTTCGTACAAAAGTTGCAATAATTGACATACATTTTCAAAACAAAAAAGGAGGTTTGAATAGATTAATGTATACTTAACGAAAAAATTATAGTTTCTCTCTCCCAGAGCCAAGTTGCAACTGTCGAGTGACGCTTCCCTGGGCAGAAGTGAAGTTATTGGCGTCTAGTGGCACATAATTAGTCATGCCCATCAGTATGTTATATTTAACAATTCATATTTTCTCCTTGAAGATGATCACTTGGTGATCGAAACACTTGTCGAGGTGTTAAAATAACGGTTTGATGTTGGAAAAAACTCCAGTAATATTTATTACTACACCAAAAGAACAGTGCATAACAAATAAAAATTAGGATACAATATAATCATGATTCAAGTAGAAATTAGGAAAGCTAAAAAATACCTACTCAGGAATGTGAGACGATAGTAAAAATAGGTGTTAAACTTACACATACATAGTATGATTATAGGTAAATTTTGTAAAATAAAACCTCTAGCCAGAATGTCTGATTATATTTTCTTCAAAATATACTGAATTTGTATAAACAAAAAAATTTCAATCATTAAATCAAAAAAAAAAAATATAAATAGAAACAATTTTTTACACAAAACTAAAACATACCATCATTGATACCGATAGGAACCAAAACTGCTAGAAATAGTATCAAATTCCTCAAAACTAACTTCCAATCATTTGGAACAGCATACGGAAGTAATGTCTTCGTTATACAATGTACTTCATGAGATACGCATACAAAAATGTATGAGGTAATTATAAGATTCAGTACAGGATAACCTGGTATAAGTACCAGGACACCGTGCGTATCTGCAGCTAGCCAAATATGGTATTGGCTAATAAACATTTCCAAAGAAATCTCCCCGAACCATGCAAAAAGACTCGAATAGCGAGTACGGAGCACACCAGAAATGTTTCTTAACAGAATATAACTAAGTATTGGAATGAAAACGACATAGGAATGTATTTCGTTACATTCTGGTTCATTTCGACATAGGAAAGTGAACATAATGTAGGAACCTACACCTATGAGAGCTGCTAGAGTGGCACTCAGGGCTATGCCTCTGGAAAAAAGATTGGAATGATTATTATCGTCGAAGATGTTGTAACGTTTTGCCAAAACCATAACGACTCCAAAGCCCATTCCGTACATTACAGAGTACCGATCTATTTTCCATCTCGACCACCATTCGTGAATATCATCATCGGTGGTAACAAACAAGGCTTTCCACGGCCTGGTAACGAACACTTTCTCAAAAAACACCTCCGACATGAAAAGTATGGTTATGACGCTAAACAGGCAAATAAACTTGATCAGAAGGTAAAAATATTGCATTGCGTTAGTTTCTGAACTTTGTGCAGTGATATGTGGAGGAAAAGCTAAAAAACAATATATCATTAAATACCAGAATGACAGTAAAGGACCAAAGTAGTAGAACTGATACGGCCGATTCATGCAAAGGCACAAAGTTACGGTCATGAAATTTAGCTGAAAGAGCATTCTACAAAAACTCACAATGCTTATGTCATTCCTGTACCACACATAACAAAACTGTTCATAGCCCAGAAGAAACAAGTAAGATGAAATTAGAATTTTTATGTGCATGTTTATGACCAAAATTTTTGTGGCTCCGGTAAAATAATATACAAGAAGTACCAGCTGCATCCAACCTTTCCATTCATTCAACTGGTCTCGATGTAAAACCTTATTGAACTTGCTCTCTTCGGTGAAAAATAAACCAAGAACTGTCACATATCCTATCGGTATCCAAAAACTGAATTCCGAATAATACTTGTTTTCTTTCATGAAAAAATTAGTTCGATCACAAATAAAAAAATATGAAAGTATGAAAGCCATTTTTGATATGGCTTTGACGAGTTCAAAGCAGCTGGAAGACTGTATTTGGACTTGGTGTTCGTTTTCTGGAAGTCTTTGGTATTGATAGGAAGGCCTTCCTCTGCAGGCGCTGATCAGTCGTTGCAGAACCATGAATACAGCCACTATAACACTAAAGTTAATACCAATCAGAAATGAATATATAATCAATTGGAGAAACACTTCAATTTTTCTCTCAAAACGATACTTGTGATCTTCGTTCGGGTTTGTGGTGTAATCGTTTAAAAGTAAATTGTTCAACCACACTTTGACTACTGTTCCTCTATTCTATATTCAATCAGAATAAATTGTCTTAACTCCAAAAACTTCAGAAGCGTGACATGAGGATCATTTTGAAGTGCCGTAGAGATACCCCTATAACTATTATGCTTAATGTTTTGAATTGGCAATCCATTTCCCAAAGACTATTATATTTCACAATGATTTTTGTGTACAAAATATTGAACAATTTAGGACCATCTCATTTCGAAAAGTACATTGACTTTCATCATGATATTCACCACCACTTCACTCGAAATAATAATGATTTATTATAAACAGAACAAAAAACAAAAACACAATGAAATCTTTGTTTTTCAAGGGTTTTGATCGGTTCAAAAAATTACCAAATGTAATTAAAAATAGCCCATCTCTGAACATGTTCAAAAACGAACTGAAGAAATTTGTTTTCAATGTACAAATATGATATGTATTATGTGTAGCTACAATTTTCTTTCTTTGAGATATTATCATGCCTATCCTATTGATCAACTTTAGAGTGTTTGTCATACAGGCTGATTCATGGTGGATGGCACATTAGACGTTTCTGGTGAACCAGACAACGGATCACTTTGAAAATTTAATGGAGGGCATATTCGGACATTCTCTAGCCAACTAAAATATTTTCGACAATGCGGTGTTGCCGCTTCTATTAGAAAGCAGTAGCAACTTTGATTTTTCAAATGGAACACTCTGTATATAATATTA